ATTGGGGAAGGATGTAAAGTATATTCTCCCTCTTTATGACGTGCTTTTGTAGTGTAATGTCCTCTAGCAATCGGTAGATCCAGAGTTCGAATCTCGACGAAGGCATTTCTCATTTTCCACGTGCTTAGAAGTAAAATGACTGAAAAAAATCTAGACTTTGCGTGAAACATTATGAAATAAACCCATTTTTTTCCTGAAAGGTAGAATAGCTCTTTAAGATGTTTAACGCGATTATAAAATATTAATAGGATAAGAACGGCATTTTATGCATGAAGATTCTCAATATAATTTCTCTTTATCTACCTAATATCGAGTAATTGCAGATAAATAAAAATAGCTGAAGGCTAAAGACGTAGAAACAATTTAAATGCTTTATAAAAAGGGTTTGAATTTACGGTTAAACGAATGTGCATAAAATTCTTTATATGTATTTCTTGAATTTAGATGAAGGGCAGGGAGAATTCTTTAGCTTGATAATTGTTTCCTTTTATTCCTTTTTTATGAAATAATTTTCATCATAATACTGCTTATATGCTTCATTTTAATAGTGCTGAATAAATTCAAGCTTTGATGTTTTTCTTTTATTAAACATGAATTTGCAAATATTGCCATCAGAAGGCAAGTTGTTTTACGTCAAAGAAGTAATGAAGAAGAATGCTACTCCTTTTGTATGCAAAAGAAAGAGGATAATCTTCTTACAAAAATTAAGGTATTATAAGAATTAAAAAATTTTAAACTTTACATATCTGTATTATTTGCTCAAGTACTTATACACTTTCGGAACTATCATAAGTGAATATTAATCAAAGATAAAAATTATAAAATACTGCTTAATTATTCATCTGCATTTTGATCTTATATTCATTTCCAAGCAAGTTCAAGCCAAATTGCAGGATGGTAGTACATGATGTCAAGATGCTTTTACAGGGTGTTCAAGCAAAGTTTTCAAGGTGCTAATAAGGATATTGAGCAAGATCAGTAAAGTCATAATTGCAGGAAAGGGGATATTTCGAATTGAGGACCGTCTGCGAAGCCCTTGATCTCATGCTAATTATTAGTAAATTAATTTGAAATCCTATGCTACCAATATTTAAATTAAAGCTGATTTTTTTATGGAAATATTATGTTTTATACCATTACTGTTAGCGAACAAAATATTCTAAGCTTTTTTATCATCGTTAAGGTAAATGTCAGATATCTAAATTAGATGAGAAATTTTTCTTCGTGATTTTGGCGATATTAGATCCTTTTTCGGATGCATTCCGTTAACTCAAAACTTAAAGAATTATTATAAACAATATTTTGTAAGCGTTATTTAAAATGCATACAGTGGCTCACTTTAGCAACTATAAAAATTTACGGAAATGTACTGAAACATTACACACAATCAAGTAATTTTGCCTTAATAATCCAAAATGCCAATCTGGATTTAAAACTTGAGTAATTATTATCAACAAAACTTATGAGTAGTATATAAAAAACGTAAATGGGAAAAAGCTAATATAATGGAGAGACTGATCGTTGCAGGATATTAAGACTAAAACCGGATCTATACCATTTCATTTTCTATTTTTATACCTTAAAACATCTGTTTTTACTTTTAGCTTAATGTTTTTCCAAATGAAATGATTACTGCATCCGAAAAAAAAGTTATAATTTAAAATATACGTTGTATAAGTTACTGTTTGCGAAACAAAATGGCCACTTATAAGTCAAAAAGGCTCTTAACAAAAGAAGATTTCTGAAACATAAAATTTAAAGATAAAATTTTAAAATACGAAAAATTATTTACTTAATAAATTAAAAATTGTCGACCATAATTTTTCTTCCTCTTAAAAAATAGAACAGAAATGTTGTTTTACAAAAAACATGATTTAAGGGATATTTGAAAATACTGTAGACCTTTACAGAGCTAGCAATCAACTCATGAATTAAATATATTAAAAAAATTCATTAACCTAATGGTAATACAACAGTAGAATGGCGATTTGAAATCAGATGGTTTTTCAGAAGGAAATTAGAACAATTTTTTTTATGCTTTCGAATCACATTTGAAGATTTTAAAGTCTTTATTGCATGCATGTAGTTTATATATTTATTGGAATATTATATTCCTTATTGGTAAACTATTGAATTTTCACTCTTTTTAACAAATTTATGCAACAATATGAAATCACTCACTGCCTTATTAGAACTTATTTTTAGTACACATATTAGAACATTTTCTGCTAAAGTAAATGATTAAAATTTCAAATTGTGCTATACTTCGCAGAAAAAGCTAAATCTCATGTAAGCATTCTTACATGTCCCGTATTTCGAATATAAAAGAAAGAAGAAAATATAAATGCGGTTAGATGAAAGGGAACACTTGCGTAATGTTTAATCAATAAGAACCTAAAATTTTACATCTGACGAAATTTTCATCAAACTCAAAATGATATATCTTGAAATTATACCTAATTGAAGATTGTTTCAATTAGGTATAATTTCGAGATATATTTCCACAGAGTATTTTTATTACATTAACACTGCTTGTTATCAAAGGTATAATTTTTACACGGGATTTAATATCTTATTCAGAACAAATTTTTATATCAGGAGTAACTACAAAAAATAAATAGCTGTGGTTATGAAAAAAGAAAGGATTTTTAATAAGCATTTACAAAGAAAATCAGTAATTAAAAAGAATTAAGAGGTTAAAGAATTAATTAATATTATTATTTATATACTAAGAAAATAAAAAGAATTAATTAATATTATTATTTTTGTACTAAAAAAGGCAAAAAACTATTACTTAAAAGACAAATAGAAATAGAATAGAATCTGAAGCGAAAGCGAGCGATTAAAAAAATGACGTACTTAAAAAAAGAAAAGTGAGAAAAGGAAAACTCGCTCTTCATGACTTTTTTTTCAGAAAAATTGAAGTAATGCAGGTCAACCAATGCTAAGTTTCGGAGGGTCCGTCCAAGTTAGAATCAAAATAAACTGATACGTTAATTAAAAATGATGTCGTTATATACAGAGACAAGAATTGTCTTTAATTAACTGCTTTAAATATTTCCGTGGAGAAGTATCTCTGAGCAAATAACTATAGTTGAAAAGATCAACTCAGATGTGATGAAATAAAAAAGAAATTATCGTCTTTCAAAACTATTACTTTTAACAGAATTTTTGAAAAATCAGCATCGCTCCCACCGGGAACTGAGCATGAGACCTTTCAACTGTTCACTGGTTGTACTGACTAGTAAGACCTTAAAAGCTCATAGGGGACAAAAAAATCATGATTATGTATTGGCCAAAGCAAATAAACGAGCTATTAAATTCCACTTTCTCAACACCGACCCTTAAACCCTTAAACACCTTTATAAATAGAAAATTAAAATGGCTTGTAGTTTACAATACCTTCAATTAACAAAAATTGATTTTACAAACCAAGTATGTACACAGTTCCTTAAATAGGCAAATACTGGTAACTAGACTTGCGTTCGAACCTAGGCGAAAGGTTGCGTGGTTGTTGTTCGCGCTTTTACCTATGCGTAATGTAAATATGAGCTGGTTTCTTTTAGAAAATCCTCCATGAAGGCATCCCCTTTTCTTAAGCAGATAGCTTTCGGGAGTTCAGATATGTTCAAATATCCTAACCTAACCTAACGTTAAAAAAGTATAATTTACCAATAATTAACCATTATAATATAATAATAATTAACAATGGTAAATTATACTTATTAAATAAGTATAATTTACCATTGCTTTTCTCATATATTCACAACTTAAATTATTTCATTTTGAAATTAAATAGTTATTTCACTTAAATTTCAGCAGATAGTAATCACGATCTCTTCTCTTGTTAAGTCTAGTTAATCAAAACCATTCAGGGTCTAATTAGAGGGATGAATGCAGACCAAATGATTATTATATGCAGTCTTCATTCAAAGAGTAACAATTTCGATCTATGGGATAGGTTTAGTACTTCATAATAATTCGGAATCTCTAGAAAAATGATGAATTCTAACACGATAAATCTAATGTCTCGCTTATAAAATTATTATTAATTATTAGTTAATATTAAACTAATAAAATTATTATTATTATTAGTTTATTGTGATCAGAAACTGATTAACAAAGATTTACTTTCTAGTTTAGTATTGTCAATAATATAATGTTAAAAAACTGCTAATTATTTGATTTTTACTTTTATTTCATACCTATATTTTTACCTTTTCACTCACCAGTATAAAACATATGTCGTAGTGACCCGTTCAGTGAGTATAGCTAGCACTAAAATTATGCCATAGTCATCAACAAACACCTTCTTAACTATAGAAGTTAGTTGCGGGTGGGATAAATGTATTCATTATGGGAAGAAAAGGGATGGAAGCTAATCAGTTTTGACATCTTTCTAACATTAAAAATTTTAAATCGAAAATTCTATCGCAGTGAATACAGCTCTAAAGTTTTATAACCGCACTTTCATAATAATAATAAAAAAATGTTTAAAGATTAAGAAAAGTTAAAGAAATTAAAAAAAATTGTAGGGCTTTTGAAACAAATTTAAATTTTCAATTCTAGCTTTGATATTAAATAATGGCAAACGTTGAGAAAAAGTCACGTCTACAATCAATCTGAAGTAAATCTGATAGCGATTAACTAAACTACATCAAATAAGTAATCTCATCATGCAAAAGGTCAAGCTTTATTGGTTAAATAACTGTAACATACCTTTTAACGAGTTTAAGCGAAAATTAAATCAATAGCTTATATTTAGATTCAAAGAATTTGTATTGATCATATAATAATTTAATCAACTACGGCAGAAAAGACGACACCAGCAATTATTATTTACCCTGATAGCCGGAAATCGCTGCAATTAAAGACAATACCATAAAAAAGTAAAATGATTTACAAAAATTAAAGATAAAAATTTTATTTTCGTTAGTCAAGCACAGTGTTTTTTTGATGAAAAGGTGTTTTTAAAGAGCAAAAAAGTATTTGGGACTCACCTGGAGGCAGCGGAGGATGGAAAGTTGAAAAGCGTCGCCGATTTCTCTCGTCACTGATCGGAATTGCCCGCGAAACTCACCTTCTCCGACCGCGAGAGGGCGTCCCGCCGACCCCTTCAGCGAATCGCGGCGCGAGAGGCTCGGCCGGCGTGCCAACTTCGCAGGCGCCAAAACAAATGCGACCCGTTTACTAGGGTGGTGTGAGTAGCAGTCCCCAGAAAGAGCACTATTAGCACTCACAGCTCAACATCGTCTCTTCCCCTTTTCCTGCAGGAAGCTCTAATGACATTTCATGCGGGCCGCAAGGGGATAGAATAATGCGTATTTACGCGCGCACGGGGTTGCCAACCGTTTGCATGAGAAGCATTTCGTGTTTTTCTCCCTCCCCTTTCGAAGCACCCACCCCTCTAGATATTCCGAGAGGGTGATGGCTAAAGCGATTAACGTGGTGCTAATCATAACGGAAATTGCAGAGAATGCATTAATGGAATATATTGGTTAGTAACACAAATAAGATACAATAGATTGTATATTTATTTACAAATTAGAATTTGTTGTCATTAGCTCCAGTGGTAATTTGTTGATTTTCCCATTTTCACTGAAGTGGTCTGAAGTAAATGGGAATTGCACTAATTTAATATTTTCACCATAAGCACGAAATAATAGAAATTATGGATTTAGGAAATAGATAAAGAACGGCATAATAAGATAAATATTTTAAATGCATTAAATAAAACAATTAATTTAAAGAATTTTCCTATTTGAGAGCATTTAAACGTGAAAAATATCTATTCAAATAAGAAAATTAAAATAATCACCTAGTGGCTGCCTCTCTAATCGTCATAGTCGTTAACGACGCCAAATGCCATATCCTTGAGACTGGGTTCGAATCCTGGAGAAGGCATGAGTGTTTGTAAATGTTTATGTTATAGAGGCACGATGGTACTTAAAGTACAGTCGAGCCGAATGCCTGTCCAAGAGGTTGGTGTTAATCTATCGTTTTATATCGTTTAATAAAAGTCTATCGATTTAGACACTTGTAGGAAGATCAGGAAAGTCGTTTTCTATTCAAAGGGTTCCAATTTTGAAAACCTCCAATACTACGAACATTTGATTATATTCCATTTACGCAGTAGATTTTGGGTGCCACTATTTTATGAAAAAACATGACCGAGAGTGTGTAAATAAAAGAATTAACAGTATTCCCATTTTCAAATAATGAGTACTTCAGTGCACTTCCTTTTGGAACAGTGCTTGCCGAAACAATTCGTTCCGCAATGGCTCTCGTTGTGCGGGATGCTATTTCTCAGTGGTTATTACAAGAATAATTTTCATTCTTTTGCAAGCCCAATCCAAAATTGTGAAATGGCGTAAAAATATCAGAGAATATTAAAAGCACCTAGATTAGAAAGGCTAGGAAAATTTTATCTTAGTTATAAAAATATATTACACAATGCATATGAATAAAGTTTCTTCGGTTTCTTCCTTCAATTTGATCCTAGTCTTCCTAGATTTTCGATGCAGATTAAAGACTCAGTTTTTAACTTTATTTTGCCCTTCTTTCAACAGGAAGCCCAAATTTGAAGAAATTTTCTAAAGAGTTTAGAAGCTATCAAGCAATCTTCCTCTTTTTCAGTATCTCTTTCCACTTCTAAAGAAATATGCGAGTCTAACTTCCACTTTTTCAGAAGATCCTTGATAGCTGCAGTTAGTGTTGACTCTCGCAATCTCTTCTACCTTACCAGAATAAATTTCCTATTAGTTTGGGAAGATTTGAAATTAATGTAGTGTCTTTATTTGTTCGCTTCATAGCTCGTTATCTCTGCTTATGCACAGGTCGTTTTTTTTTTTTTTTTTTTTTTTTTTTTTTTTTTTTTCATTTACTCGTCTTTAAAACAAAGAAAAATTTAATTCCGCATATAACATGTGACGAAGCTTTGGGATGTTCGCAAGATGAGACAATTTTCAGACCGTGCAAAAATGCAACATATCATTGTTCTGAGTTACTACTTGTTGTGGAAAATAAGTGAATTTTGTCACGTATCATGATAAAATTAACTAGTGGATTGTATAAATGGATTCCGTCACGTATCGTGATAACATTTCAAAGATTTAAGCGAAAGAGTTCATCAAGCGTAATAATTTGCTTCGTACTTGCGCTAAAGCTGCAAAGTAATAAAATAATAATTTATCTTCTAGTAGATTATTTAATATATTATCTCCTTTGAAAAAAGTAGTTAGAACTCTATTGAAATGAATTTACTCATTAGCATATTCAAAATGGAATTTTTAAAAAAGTATAATTAAAAGTGAAAATGCAACCAATAAACTAAGTAATTATCGATACCTTTTACTTCTTTATTTTCTTATATATATATATAATAACAACATAACAAAAAGAAGGACTATTAAGAATCCTGTGGCCAGGCTGCAATGATTTAATTAAATATAATCATAAGAATGGAAGGAGAATACTCGAATTAAAATTTCAATATTTCAATAAAGTAAAAAATAAGGAAGCTAAATAAAGATAACTAAGAATTACCAGATACCAACAGGGAAAAACTACAATAAATATTTTGGTTTTCGTCACAGGTGTTTGTATTCAATGCGCAGGAATCGAATACTTGTAATAGTTTATGTTCATATGTAAGTATTCCACTTGTCTTTAATGCATCGCTTATTAGACTGAAATCAAAGACTTATTGTTGTTTCGGATTTCAGTAAATTCGTGACTAAATATACTGAAAGACAAATAAATAGACACAAGAAGTATGCTTTGAAATTTCAGTTTGAAATATTAACATATTTTAAAACTCTCAGAACATAAACTTCCCAAATGGAAGGTCACAGCTTCATTCTTTCTCTCATTATTGAAATGAGGAGAAAAATGCAAGCAAGGAAAACTATTTGAGTGCATGACACCCTAAAGATTTAATACATCCACTCGGATTCCTTTACTTCACAAAGATCCACCAGCTATCGAAGGTAAAACAGCTGAACACTAGTAGTTCCGAACTAGGTTGGAAACCAGACGAACGGGTTTTCTGTATGAACGTTTTCGTGATTTTCCACTTGTGTAACGTGCATACGAGCTAGTTTCCTTTAGAAAGTCCTCCACGAAGGCATCCCTCCCCTTAGGCAGATAGCCCCTAGTGTGCTTTGCCATAATAAACTTAAAAAAATTTTATTTAACAAATTCTATTATTCGCATTCTTCTAGAATTCCTCTTCAGGCTACAGATCATATAAAATCTTTAAGTTTGTATTAACTAATCCTCGTTATACAACATACGTTAAGTTGGCCCGAGGCTTCGTAGGTCCAAGATAATTTTTTAGATAGGAAATATACCAACATAATTAACAGAACTATACTTTACAGACAGGTTTGCTTTTGTAGAATTTATTAATTCGCTCAAAATGTTACCGGTTATGATTTGTAACATTAAGCAGTAACAAAATCAGTATATTACATGATATTTACATTAACAACATAAAAACGAATGTCAACCGAGGAATGCTCTGCAACAGAAGTTTATTAAAAGAAGGAAAATCTCCTTACATAAAATATTTATTTAAGTGTCAGCGGAATTTAAATTGCGTGGTTTTCCGAAGTCAGTAAATACTGTCTATTTTATCTAAAGGTCATGTCCTCTCCTTGTAAAAAAAGATATAAATGCTAGTAGTTTTTATTTCTACTTCCACATCGCAATTGCCTAATTCTCTTCAATGTCCTAGGCTTCCTGTTGAAAGGCGCGTGGGCATGCGCGAGCGTGTTTCATCTCAATACACTTCTTTAAGATCATTACTTAATTGACATTTATGTATTTTTTATCACATAATTAAATCTTTAAGTCGCCCACGTATTCTTTTACCCCCTTGCGTAATTTTGCTTTTTGCATTAAGTTTTCTGTGTCTTGTCACATCTGCCTTGGATTGGCTTTAGAATGAATGTATTAAATTTTTATTCATGAAATGGATATTCGCATCGTTCATATATTAAGGGGGAGCACTTTAAGAAAGACATGTATTATTTTTCGCTGTCTTTAATGGGTTAGAATACAAATAAATAAGTCATGCAGCATAGAAAGATCAGGAATAATCTGCTACATAATGGGAAAGCTTGCTTCTGGCTAGGTCTAGAACCGTCAGACGAACTGCATTCTGTAGACTGAAGAATTTCCGAGCAAAATCATTCACGCCTGTATAACTGATATTTAATAACATTAGTCACAAAAATCAATAAACTTAAAATAATCGTAAATTAAAATCCACAAACTTAAAATCTTAAACTTAAATCTTAAAGTCAAACTTAAAAATCAATAAACTTAAAATAATTCTGCGAGGTTACTAAAAACATTCGTGATAATTTATATACATTGGTGTGCAAAAATTAAGGACGAAGTCGAAAAATTAGCATATCAGCTGAAGGAAGAAGCAGAGCTGACAGAAAGACCAATCAGAAGATTAAGTAAGGTGATGTACGGTAGCACATGCGCAGATATGCAGGTAGACGTAATGGGGGAGTGTCTGAGTAGTATAAAGCATGTTGTCGGTGTAAGATCAGTATTTCTGGCAAAGAGATTGCACGCCGTATAGCAGTTAAAATCACACCGAGTTGCTGCCTCAGCGAGAAATGGCGAATAATCAATCTGTTAGACGACATCTGGATGCTTTTACCGGAGGTCGAATCATTGGGAAGTTGTAGAAAGGCCGCAGTGTGACAAGTGTGGCTGCAGAGTTCGGAATTGCTCACAGCATCGTTTCACGACTTTGGAGACAATTTCAAACTACAGGAACAGCTATCCGGGGTTTAGTAGTGGTCGTCCACGAGGAACCACACCCGCAGATGACCGGTATATTGCCTTACAGGCCAGAAGAAACAGGCGGCAGACAGCGGGAGAAATCGCTAGACACACGACACAGGCGACTGGACGACCGATATCGCCTTTTACCGTGGCCAAAAGACTGCACGGTGGTGGTCTGTTTGCACGACGCCCTGTACGGTGTGTACCTCTAACGCCTGCCCATCGGAGAAGGCGTTCTCTGTGGTGCCGGGAACACCGGAACTGAAGAGACAATGAATGGGGACGAGTACTCTTTACAGATGAGAGCAGATTCAGTCTGAGTAGCGATTCTCATCGCATACTCATCTGGAGAAAGCGGAGAAGCCGCAATCATCCCTCGAACATCATTGAAAGGGACAAGTAT